CAACTTCCTCACTCACTCGTTTCAATATTTCTTCCGAATTCCGCCTATCCCTATTTAGTTCCTATAAAATTCTTTTACAAGCTCTTGCCTCCTTCCTCCGCTACTATACACGAAATAGATTAAAAACCAGTTAGCATTGCTCGCCCCGTAATTTTATTCTCTGACGACACTAATATGTAAACTAGCTTTAAATGATTACATTAATTTGTAATTTTTCCGTATTTTTGTTGTAATCGTAATAATTAGTAAATTATTTAATAATAATTCCATTAATTTCTAATTTTTTTCGATTTGTAATTGTATTAATTTGAAACTTGTTCAATAGACAATAACAAATTAATAATAGATTATTAATAATTAATAACATTCTATTAATAATAAGCAATGTTCAATAATTTAAAATCTCTGTTTCTCTTAATTTAAAAACCTGAGACCTCGTAATCCTTACCACCTTGCTTTTCAGAGATTGCACGTAGTCCAGTCCCGAGTTATAAGGATTAGATTCCTTGACTCGAAATTTGGACCGATGATCGCACTGCTCGTCGAAAACAGGTGTTATAGCGTTCTTGAGGGACGTTGACCTATATTCCGAAGCGACAAAAAGTGTGTTTGATTCGGGATACTCGCCTCTGTGCGCATAGCTGCGAGAGTTAAGTGTTCTTCCTAATACTCTCATCAATTTCATCCCTTTTCTCTCCAATCGAATCTTAAATTTAAACTTCCAAGGGTTTGGACGTAACGCTGCATATAATATTTTATTAGTGTCAAGAAAAAAAAAAGTAACGAAAAAGTAACGTCTCGTTATATTTTGAGTAATGATAACGTTTTGAGTAATGAATACGGTAACGTGTTACTTTTGCAAATCAATAACGAGTAACGGGAACGAGTTATACTTTTAGGAAAAAGAACGATAACGGTAACGAGTTATTTTTAAGAGATAACGTTCTTAACTTTAAGTAATGATAAAACTTGCATAGGGTTAGAGCGGACTAAACTCAGGCGAAAAGTGCTCTACCATTTTGCAATTTTCGTAATAATTAACAAGACATCAATTACTAAAAATGATCGAATATTGGTTTTAAATAACTTTTTACTCAAGTACTACCAAAACTATACAGGAAAACAGCAAAAAACAATAATCATTTATTTTATTCTCACAGAGCTCTAACGATTTTTTCAGAATTTTTTGTCAATTTTTTAATATTGCGTTTTCTTATGTATAATATATTGGCAACTATTTTTACCAACATGCGAAAATATGGTACTAAAAAATTCTGAAGAAGTTCTCGAGAAAAAGAACTCGAAGAAAAATAAACAATTTTTGCCACTTGATGTTTTTTTTGTCAAGTTCACAATATTTGAGTTAAAAATTATTGAAAACCAATAATCGGCAATATTCAGTAATTAATATCTTGTTAACTATTTCGAAAATTGTAAAATGGTACAAGACTTTTTAACTCAGTTTAGTCCACTCTACAACTATGCGAGAGTTTTTCTTATTAAACACTTTGTGTATATATTGAATAATCTGAACTTGAATATATTTTGCTTTGCTACTGTAATTTTAATAGTTTTGATGGATAGTCTAGAATAGTTGTAAAATTATTATATTCTATAATTATAATATGAACATCCAAAAAAAATGTTTCTACTTAAATCACGAAAATAAGTGACAAGAAGTATATATAATGTAATAGAGAAAAACTAATCAGCTTTAAACTGAAAATTATCGCAAGAATATTCCTCTGATTCAAAATTTAAATTTTACGAATGCTTAGAGACATATAATATTATCAAAAGCTTACATAGCTTATCACTATAAATTATATTTGAAAGACTTTTAAGTCTGTAGGTTTATACAGATACGACTTTAGACGAATAAATTTAAAGTAATATGAAGTTCTTTTTGTCGTAAAAGAAATATTTTATGTAACTGCGAACAGTGCATAAAATGTATGCTTTCATTATTTTAAAAGAAGTTTGCTAAAGTGGCAGAAGTTAATTTAATGCTAAAATGCTATGACATAATGCATAAGAACTCAAAATGATTATAATAATGTTGACATTGGTGATCATATAATATTGACATTAATGACTATACTACAATGCAATTATGCAAAACTATTATTTTATAAATTGGTGCTATAATTAACAAGCATTACAATTGGAGAAATTACGAAGAACGTATTATCGTATATACATATCATGTCATGTATAGGAATGATAAATATTTCAGCTAATATCATTCGAACAATAATACCGTAACAATCGGCTTTTTTTGCCATCGCAGAATCCTAGTCGACTGAAAGAGAGCTAAATTATAGACTTTATGTTCCTTATCACATGTTTATAACTTTTACAAATTTAATATTTAATAATGTTTTGCAGACGTGATGTTTGCGTGAAAGGTGTTTGCGGGAGCATCGCTACATGCTCTGTGCTACTTCGAAAGAATCATAAAGCACAACGTCATTTAGAATGCACAAATTTATTTTGATTGAAAGCAGTTGGACAGATAGTGATAAAATAAAACGGACCCCTTTCAAATTATCAATTTATGAATGATGTATGGGTGAAAAGTTATTATTCTAATAATAATACCGTATAATACAATTGACTATTTCCATCACAGAATACATGTCTACTGAAACAGAGCTAAATTATCGACTTTATGTTCCTTATCACGTGTTTATAACTTTTACAAATTTAATATTTAATAATGTTTTGCAGACGTGATGCTTGCGAGAAAGGTATTTGCGGAAGCATACCTACGTCCTCAGTACTACATTGTAAGAATTATAAAGCGCAACGTCAATCTGGAGACACTGGTAGTGTTTCGGCGCTAAGATATTAGATTACACGTGAATATTTAACGGATTCGCTATTAGTTGTATACGACGTTCAAACGGTCGTAATTAATTTGGATATAAAGCAATTGGATAGACATCGATAAAATAAAACGGAAGCGCAAATGATCAATTTATGATTGATTTATGCGTAAAACATTTTAGTAAAGAAGACTAAAAGTATACAAATTAAAAAAAATCTTTATACACTAATGTCTTCAAAAGAATACATTAAGAAGATTGAACTGAAAATGTCCTAAAGAAAATACTTATAAATCACGAAATAGAAAGTAATATGGGTAAATTGAAAAGACCTAATGAAGAAAAGAAGTAGATATTAACTTAGAATTAAAAAATTATTGAAGAAAATAGTCATTGCCAAAATGTTTTCGATTCGATTAAGAATTCTTCAACTTTCACGAAACTTATACATTGCATTAGCATATTTGTTTTTGCTATGCTCTTGTTAAACGGAAGTTTCGGCTGAGGTAGTATCATTTGTTTTTAAGGGACTGATGTTTTCCTTGGATTGTATTAAATTACCCGAAATATCGAATTTAAGTATATATTAATTTTTTTAAGTTAATCCTTACAACTTCTTTTCATAAACTTCTTATAAAAATCTTCCTTATATGCTTTTCCTAAAAAAAACGAGCAAAATGTAAAATATTGAATTGCGTTTATTGAATAATTATGATTCTATAACTTATCTAAGAATTTATAAAATTTACATATTAAACGTCATATAATTAGAAAAAGATACAGATATTTTATACGCAACATATATATACATTATATGTACTTACTATATATCAGGGTTGACAACGTTAACTTGTAATAATAACTACTCACCGTTATTCGGTATTTGGTTTTGCACAAACAATTCGTTATCGTTATCGTCAAAATATAACGAATCATTACTTTTCTTTCATGCCACTAATAGAATATTATATGTAGATTTTTGCAGTAAACATAAAAAAGATGTTAAAATTATATTTTTTAGTCGAGAAGTAGAGCTCAAAAAGTATATGCCTATAGTAGACATTGTGCTTTACTTTCACGAATGAAATAAATGCTATCGTGTAACACATAATATATTTTTTCTAATTTTTATACTTAAATAAACTTATTTTTCGTTTTACTTTTAACAAGGTATCTTTAAATTATACATTTACATATACAATTTTCTTTTACTGTACATGATGGACCGTTTGTATGTGGGTTAATTTCCATAATTTTAGGTAACCAAAAATAACAATAGCCTACTATGGTTATCTATCATAGCAGAAATTACAAAGAACGTATTGTCGTGTGTGTGTATATCATGCCATATATACAGTTAATAAATATTCAAGTTGATATCATTCTATACTAATGATACCGTAAAAATCGGCTATTTCCATCGCAGGATCCGTGTCGACTGAAACAGAGCTAAATTATTGATTTTACGTTCCTTATCAAGCGTTTATAACTTTTACAAATTTAATATTTAATAATGTTCTGCATATGTGATGGTTGCGAGAAAGGTATTTGCGGAAGCATCGCTACATGCTCAGTGCTACTTCGTAAGAATTATAAAGAGCAACGTCAATTAGAATACACGTGAATTGTTATCGAACTCACAATTAGTTGTATAGGATGTTCAAACGGTTGTAATTAATTTGGATTCAGAGCAATTGGAACGACAGGTGTCAATAAATTAAAACGGACGCCTCTTAAATTATCAATTTATAATAATGTATGTGTGAAACGTTTTAGTAAGAAGATTTAAAGTATACAAATTAAACAAGGTCTTTATATATACAAATGTCTTGAAAAAAACTTTTAAGAAGAATTGAATAGAAATTTTCCTAAAGAAAATATTTATAAATCATGAAACACAAGGTAACATGGATAAATTGACATGACCTAATGAAGAGAAGAAGTAAATATTAATCTAGAATTCAAACATTATGGAAGAAGATTTCAAAAAAGATCATAAGAAAAATGTCTTCGATAAAGAATTCAACTTTCATGAAGGTCAATAAAACCTCCAATTTCTTTGGAAATATAAATAAAGAAAATTCTTTTGAGGAAAAAAATAATGAACAGAAAGTGAACAAAATAAAATCAGAGCTACATCAAGATTTATTTTGTACGTTCAGAATATTGATAATGTTCTTCAAGCTTATCGGTCTCGCTACATTTGCCCACCGAATCGTCATATACAAAAAGAGAACGTCATATACATTTCAATATTGCAAATTAGGAATCGCTTACAATGTTGTGCTGAGTAGTTTAATAATAGCTTCGAACTATATGTCTATACCATTCAGACTTAATATGGACTACAGGATCAAAACGAATTTGACTGTAGGCATCTCGATTCTACAAACTGTACTAGGTGCCCTGGTGGTCTGCGTGAGTTTGATTAGCTACTGTATCAACCAGAAGTCCTTGGTGCGGATCGCCAATCGATTAATCACCGTCGAGCACGAGATAGATCATCTGTATGATCTATATCATCCGCTACGACGACAGCGTATCTTCCGCACTACAATCATCGTTTGCATCTTGAAGATTTGCATTCTGATACTTCTCCAGTTTACTAAGATTCTGATCGCTCATACAGGCCCAGTCTCATTGCTGATAGATATTCTGCCGACATTTCACGTGGGTTGGCTACTGATACAGTACTTCCTGTTAGTGACGGTTATTCAGACAGATTTCGCTGATGTGAATCGAGCGATACAAAGTCTCACTTGGATCAATGCACCTGATCTTCGACTGCAATCTCTCTATCAAACGCGTCGTATCGTATTCAACAATTCGACCGTTCATCAGCTATTGCTACTGCGAGATGTGCATTGTCATCTCTGTGAAATCTCTGAGGATGTGTCGAGTTTCTATTCACTACCAGTACTATTCGGCACCGTTTTTCTCTTTCTGACACTCATATATGATGGTTACTATATTCTCTGGATTCTGTTGATGGCTGATGATATCTTAAACTTAAATTATTCTTATATGATTATTTGTATCATCGTCTGGATCATATATCGGATTTATCCCATCTTTCTCCTCACTAACAGAATAACTAGAATTTTAATCGAGGTAGAATAATTAATATAATAAGGTGGCATTTTAATCAGATCGTTTTAATCGATGAAACAAAATATTTTTGTCAGTAAATAACAACTCAAATATTTTACGAAACATTTTAATTATAAATTTATTGTGTAGATAAAGAAAACGGGCAATATAGTGCATGATATTTTAAACCATGCAATCGAGAAAGAGACAAAAGCAGAGGTAAAAAACAAAGTTAGATGAAACTTTCTCAGAAACGGTACTCATCGTAACAATATTTAACGTAGATATGTTACAGCTCAAGAAATTTTCATTTCAATTGCTGCATCGCAAAATACAGTTTACAGCTAACGGATACTTTACGCTCGATAATACTTTTCTTCATTCGGTGAGAATATTTAGAATGTAAGTAATTTAATATAAATTAAGTTTTTTAAATTAATAATTTTGATTATCTCTTTCAGCTGATTGGCACAGTGATGACATATTTGGTAATACTTGTGCAGTTTCAACTGGGAAGCTCGCGTTCATTGATCACTCAGTAATGTAATTATACAGGGAGATATTTAAAATAAGACACAGAATAATAAATTAAATATAAGGAAGAATGTAATGAGAAATATCTTATAAATATAATGAAAAATATCTTAGATGTCTCTTAAATTGAGATGTAAGAACCAATTAACTGCTATTAAATACGCAGAATTGCAATTCTGAAACTTTTTATTTTAACTTCCTTGTAATAAATACAATCAGTTCTGATGTACAAAACTAGAAAACAAAAATGTAAATAAATGTAATGTATTTAAATTAATATTATTAAACTATAATACTAATAAAGCTCATAAAATTAGAAGAACAAAAAGGAAAGGGCTACTAGCCAAAGATTTATCGTTATAAATAGAAAATTGCAACGTAAGCAAATAAACATATCGTTTAGTTAAAACATAAACTTTAATTTGCCGGCAATGTCGAACAAAACAAAGAACAAACGTTTTAATCCCTATTAGATCATTATCAATGTTAACAACAGTAACGGTAAAACTATTACAAAAAAAAATTGCGAAGAAATATATAAAAATTATACTTCGCTCTCTTTCTCTCTCTCTCTCTCTCTCTCTCTCTCTCTCTCGCAGTATTAACGTCAACAATAATTTCGCTCAGTTTGCAGTAAATATTATAATTCGAATGTTGGTGTCAGTAACATTGTATTCATCTAGTTATGAATATAGTAGAATATAGAAGCATGATTATTAATTCTGTTAAAAAGTACAAATATAATGTAGAGATAATTAATAGAAATAAGTAATAATTATAATACGAAATATACACTAAGAACAGGTAATAAAAATAAGTTAGAAATATAATCCTATATTAAAATTGGCGTGCCACGTTTTTTTGAAGTCTCTTTTCAAAGGGATGTTAGAGTACTCCGATTTCGATGTGGCTTCGTATTCGATCAGGAGCAAATCGGTAAAGCCATATTACGATGTACCCTACCGTTCCCTGATCAGGCCCAATTATTCCATAATTTTTTCATTAAGGTTTGGTTAAGTGGG